TTAATTTATCCAGTTTGAGTTATCTTCTTTGCATTGAAATTAGAAACAAATTACTTTTATTCCCAAGTTAAAGAAAACAAGTAGTCTCGCTGTTTCATCTATTTCTATAAAAAATAGGTAATATGCCGCGTTTAAATATATATGGGTGACATAGAACAAATCACTAAGTTACATGTAATTATTTACACATAAAAATAATCAATATTGCTTTTTTGAAAAAAAACCTTAATATAACAACCGGTTATTCAAATAAGTTTCAAAATTTAAATGGTTTTAAATATCATTTATTGATTTGGTTTTAACATGATACTTTTTTTGTTTTGTTCAAAAGGGATTTGATTTCATTAAACTGAACCAAATTGGTTGTTAACCGATATATTGAAGAGCACTGATTTTGTCAAGGAATCAGCCTCTGTATTGTTCGATCTTTGAACAAATTCAAAGATTTTGATACCTAGATCTAAAGAAATCTGATAGATGTCTTCTAAGATCCCTGAAATCTCCAGATTCGGGGTGTTTGTGTTGATAAGGTGGATAAGGTGCTTTGCATCTGATGCTATTCGAAATCCTCTAGCTCCGGAGTTCCTAGCTTCAAGTAGAGCTTCACGGATTGCAATCGCCTCGCCATGAGAGGTGAGTTTATGTTCNTCTCAGTCATCGATCCTTTAGAGACGGTTTGATTCCCATTGCGCATGACCCAAGNGAGTCCCGCTGTCTTCGTGTCAGTTCTCCAAGCGGCATCAGTGAAGCATCGGAGGGATTCATCCGATGAAAGGTCACAGTTTCGCAGCCGAGGGANGGATTCAGGTTGGGTTGTGCTTTGGTTCTGAATAAACACAATTTACTATTTATTTTGTAGAAAGAAAACCGAATCTATACAGTTATCAACGTACAAAATATACAATATTCTTTAATAAAAAAAAAACTAAATACTGTTAAACTACTTTTCAGAAAAAAAACTATTGTAAAACCAAGAATTTATGTAAAAGAGTGGCATATCCCAGTTCTTCAAGAATTTATGGAGCCAAGGGACATTCAGCTGATACGAGGACTTGAGATTAGCCCATCTTTTATGGTGGATAGATTTGTT